TTTCGCTTTAAGCGCGAATACTACTCCCACGACCCTTATAGATCGCCCTAATTGCACGCAGTGCTCCTGGATTTAATGTACAAAACTACAAGGTTTTAATACATTTTGAACACATTATTTATTTATTATTACATAACAATTTACTTACAGTCCACATAATTTTACTTAAACAACGAGTAGTCGTATAAAGCGCAGAACTGCATCTATTCCAAATTTGTTCGTGATAAAAGCATTCGTTTTAAATACGACTTACCAGGAACCTTATATTCTGACCGTGATACATACCTACTAAAATAAATTACGAAATAAAGTATCAAATAATTAATACATTTTTATTAATTTATTAGCACACAAAAAAATTTTAAAATACGCACGCTAAATGTCTTCCCGTTGGATTGTCTTATAGATCCTTGAAATGTATTTATTTTATGGTCTACAATTTCATTATTTAATATTATGTCATTTCAGTATTGTATTATATCATTTTTTAATTGCTCACTTTGTAATTTTATTACTTATTTAATATTTATTAATAATCAGATGATAGTTATTCAAATTTTCAAACTCCAACTCGAAATTTCCCTCCACATTATTTTTTTAATGTGAAGTTCTGTCATTTTCTTCTTAATAGTTCGAATCACAATTTACTATAAGTTTTTAATACTCTATAGGTGGTCCGCGGCCTAAAGGTTATTATCAAAATTTTCTCCATAAAAAAATAATAATTTGTTTTAATTTAAATAAATTAATGAATAAATATTTTTAATAATATTACTAAAATGTCTATTATTTTCTCCATGAAAGAAATAAATTTATTTTTAACTATACGTTCTTTATTATTCCTTTCGCATATTTATTTTCATTTTAAAATATTTTAAATAAATAACTTATACCTAAATTAGATCATAGCTCTACAAGTTTCATCATTATTTGAATATTTACCAAGGACTTTTTTTTATTGAATATGGGTATATTATAAGTATTATATTGTAAATAATCAGAGTTATAAAAATAATTTAAAAATAATTTGTCGGTTTTTATATCCTAATAAAAATCCTCAGTTTTTATTTCCAATATTAGAGAATGGTTCTTTTTTTTATTATTAATTTTTTTCATCTGCTCTTTTTACCAGAAATCTTGCTCCGGTCAATATTCTATTAACACAGAGTGCTACACTTTGTAGCACTTTTTCCGAAACAAAATTTTATCTAGTTAGTGAATTAGAGAGGTTATTATTTTTGATTTTTATGATATTTTAAAAATATTTAGAAAAACAGGAAAGAAAATTATGGGTGAAACGGAAAAAATTTACAGCACATCGCGATGTTATCGACTTCATTGTTTTTAATTTTTGCAAACTGTTTTCTACCAGAAATATTGCTCCATTATAAAAACGACATTACGACAAGAAACCTTTTGTTGATACTCTTTTATTATTTTCAATTTGGTTTTTTTGTTGTAATTTTGTTAAAATATTCGTAGAAATTTTAAAAATCAATAGTCGCACAACTTGTCAACTTGAAATTTACTACGCATGTGCGCAGTACAACGGGTCCAGCCAAACAGCATTAGCGAACTACTCCGTTTGACGTCATTTAGTATAAGGTCAATGGTGTTGTCGTGAACTGCTAACTGAATAGGTATAAATCCAGAGTTTATATTTCATCTACGCACCTTGGTAAGTAAAACTTTGTTCTTAGGTACCATTTATAACCACAAGTTTGATTAAACCAAATTCTTAGGCATTTTAAGTAAAACATAGATATTAAACACAGTTGTTTAAGTATAATATTATGTATCTATTAAAATTTAAGTCGTCCAGTATATTATGAAATTCAATGCAATATTTAGATGCTTACCAATGAAATTGTAGTTTTAATATTTATAAGGAAATTTGGGTATAAATCTAGTTTAAGGCCTAGCTCGTTTTTCAAATTTTTTTTTCAAAATGTGAGTTTTTGCCTATACCTACATTAACAATCTAGAAAAAAAGTCGGACGAACTTCGTTTGGAAGTTATGGAAGAAAACTTCATGAATTTCGAATTTTCCGTTTCGCATATTTCTTAATGAGAAATTAACATTTTCTTTTGGTATAATCAAAACTTACTTATCATACTTAATTTTGAAGTTATTGTTACTATTATGATTTTTATTTATTAATATTTTGATAAAAAGATAATTTTTATTGAAGTCTGAATAAGTCTATCTGACTTAGTTTTCCCTGTTACCTACCCGATGTGGGTTTATTGTGCAAAACGACATCAGGTACATAATACGGGATAAAAAATTTAAAACGTGAGACAATAAATTATGTATTAGGTCGAACTTGTAAAATTACGAAAACAATAAAATTTATATCGCTATAACTTCAGGGTTAAAAAATTCATCATTTAAGAAATCTCGGAAAGTAATAATTTTTTTTGGAATTTGTTTTCTAGAACATTTAATATTCAAGCTGCTCTACACTTTTATATCTATGTTATTTGTCGTCACCCTTATTTTTGGGGGTAAAACAACTACCTACTTTTGATTTTAAAATGGCCACCTATATTAAAAAGTCCATAAAAAGATTGAGTATTATTTGTGGTGGTACGGCGCGTGGCGTGTTAATAATGCACCACTACTCTCCTCCAACCAAATTTTAAAAGTGAAATATCTCGTCAACGGATGGAAGGAAATCAAAAATTTTAACACTAAAATTTGTTTTAATTAATACTCAATCTTTTTATGGACTTTTTTTTTATATAGGTTGCCATTTGAAAATCAAAAGTAGGTAGTTGTTTTACCCCCAAAAATAAGGGTGACGACAAATAACATAGATATAAAAGTGTAGAGCAACTTGAATGTTAAATGTTCTAGAAAACAAATTCCGAAAAAAATTATTACTTTCCGAGATAATGAGTGTACCTATTTAAATGGATCACCCGGTACATTATACCTATAATTTTCAGCGAGAACGAATCTCTGTAGTAAATTAAATAAATAAGTAATGACTAATGATGTTAAAATGTATTTAAAATAATCAAAACGTATAGGTAAGTGTATTATAAGTACCTACCCCTAATATAATTTTTTTTTAACATTGTGGTAAAAAATTAACTAATAAAATATCTAAGTGGTATACAAATATACATTTAAACGTTTTATTATGCATACCTAAATCAGTAATTTTATTTTATTACAAGCTATAATTTGTAAGTATCTATTTAGGTACCTACCTTCTTAATATATAAGTATACTAATATATTATGCTATATTTTAGGTACAAATATTCACAAACTTTTATGTTTACAATTTAGTAAGGTTCGATAGGTAATTAAAAGTACCTAAACTAAATACCTAATATTTCTAAATAATTTTTAGAATCAAATTGCAATTCTTTGTCAGAATGTTGGACACGGCTCAATTATACGAACTGCAATTGAGTTCAACGGACACCGTTCAAGATATAAAAGACAAAATTCTTGCTAATGAAAAAATCCTGTGCGACTATCAAAAATCTATGATATTGAAGAGTGGAGGTCTAGAAAAGAATGTAAATATGGAGGACGTCGTTTTCCACTTGTCTCCTACTAAGTAACCACCATTATTTTCATTACTTTTAATAAGTAATTTGTTTGAAAAAATTCGAAATTTTTTCCATAACTTCTTTAATAATAGTTTCCACAAAAAAATGCATGTAGTTTAAAAATCAGTATTGAAAAACGAATCTTTAAATGAAAAAAAATAAAATTTGTGAGGAGCATTATAATATGCATTTTACTCAAAGTTTTTGATATTTAGTAATCAGGTAAATTCAGATATATTTTTTAATTTGTATTAATAAATTATTTCTTAGTAAAAAATTGGTACCTATAGAAAAAAAAATCGTAATTTCAACTTTTTAAATGGGCAGTTGATTCTTACTTGATAATAACAGGTGACTACCATATTGACTTCATAAATTCCATTGTTTAATAACTTCAATAATATACCTACCTAGTGTATCTAATTATTATTTTGTAAGTTATACATATAAAAATACATTAAAAAATATCTGAAACCCATTTATAAGAACCTATAAATACTTAAATGTTTTTCCTGTTTATTGGAAATCTGTCTGTAATTTTATAAAATACATAAATATAGATACTTTTATACAAAATACATTATTAAACCCATAGTTTTCAGCGAGAATGAAAGTGTATAGTAAATTATATAAATAGATAATGAGTAATGATGATAAAATGTATTTTAAATGTTCAAAAATTATAGGTAAGTATATTTTAAGTATCTCTTTTTTTTGTTTTTAGGAAAATTATCGTAAAAAATTAATTAATAAATAAAATACCTAAGTGTCATACAAATATACATTTGAACGTTTTAGTACGTATACCTAAATCATTAATATAATTTTATTGCAAGTTATAATTTATAAGTATCTATTTAGTTATCTACTTATGCCAATGAGAACCCATCATTTTCGTTACATTATTCCAGTTATATTATGTTATCAATTTACTATACATAATGTGTATTTTTATGTATTAACCTGTTATTGTTATCTATGTACGATCTAGTCTTATCAAACAACTTTCCTAACATGTAACAATGTATTATCTGGCCATCTGGGTTATTTGAATTATTGTATATTATACCAAAAGATGTTTTCATTATATTAGTATAACTTTGGGTTTCTGCCTATATTTTTAATAAAATAAATAAATAAATATATATATATATTATGCTATATTATTGGCAAAAATATTTACAAATTTTTTCATTAAGTTTAGATTTGGAATTTGGTAAGTATACAGTGTGTCCCACCGAGTATAACGGATTTGTTTTGTGCTGTTAATATTACATTTTTTTTAATCAGTTTGTCTTCAAGTGGGACATCGATTTTAAGAAAAATTAAATTTTTATTTTAATCTCCTAAACACAAAACAAAAATAACTTTTTATTTGTTCACTTTAGAAGATTTTCAAAATGGCTTTTTTTAAAATTGTCTAAAGTGAATAAATAAAAAGTTATACCTAAACTATTTACCTACCTAATATATCTCTATTTATTTTTAGATTGAAAATGAAGATCGTTGCAAAAAGGATGACGGGCAAATTATTCTCTGTGGACGTGAATCCAAAAGACACTGTTAAAGATTTAAAAGAAAGAATTCATGCCCAAGAAGAAAAACTGGAAGGCAAAACAAATTTGATAAATAACCATAACAATTGTATGCTTGAAAATGACCGTACAGTATCATACTATAGGATTGAGAAAGATAATGACGTTGAGTTCATAATCCAACTAGGTCGCAAAATTCCAAAATTCAATTGAGAAATTTAAACGGCAAAACCATAACTTTGGTCAAATAGTATAGATTAGAATATGTGAAGCTTGTAGATTTTTTAGGAGACACTGTAGTACTCTGTATTATAGTAGGTGGCCTATATATAAACAATTTTATTATTATTGTTTTTTGGACACCAAAACTATTACAGTGATACACTATTACATAATATATACAAATTAGAAACTTTTTAGTATTTAGTTTATAGTAAAAATTGTTGTTTTTCTTTATAACCTCATAAAAATCCTCTAATTTTATTTCTAATATTAGAGAATGCTTCTTTTTTATTATTATTATTATTTTTTTTATCCGTGAGAAACTTTTCTACCAGAAATCTTGCTCTGATGTTTAGAGTGTAGCATTTTTTCTGAAAGAAAAATGTTTATCTAATTGTCAAATTAGAGAGGTTATTTTTTAATTTTCCATGAGGTTTTCAAGATAATTGGAAAAAACAGGAAACAAAATTATAGGTAAAACGATAACAATTTAGTGCGCTGCGACGTTACAGACTTCATTTTTTTTTATTTTTGCAAACTGTTTTCTACTAGAAATACTGAACCAATAGAAAAGCGACAAGAGACTTTTTTTTGTTGCTATTCTTTTATTTTTTTCAATTTTGTTTTTGTTTGTTATTAAGTTAACAAATATTCATAGACTTGAAATTAAGCTATTATCAGATTGTAATATTCAGAAACATTGCACCCTTCATTTGATATTCCATCTCCACGGCGATAGCGGAACCAAATCATTTTGGTGCTTTTCTTAATACCTACCTAATTATTATAGATATAGAACAGGTAGATATTTAAAAAAATGACTTATTAATTTTAATTGTTTTTCATAAAAAATATACTTAGGTTTAAATGGTACTTACCTATAAAATAGGCTATACCTGTATTAAAATAATTGAGTGGATACTGCTATCTATTTGTAATTAAGTATATTAAATTCTGACAGTTGATGTATGCCGACCTAATGTACTTAGTTTTTTTGTAATTTATATTGGACAAAGTACTAACTTATCATAATAATTTGAATTCTAAAATCATTAATTAAGCTATAAATATATCTATTGATTATATTTAAATTTAACTTGCTGTAGAACTTTAAATATGTAAATTGTGCTACATATTCATCATCATATAGCTTCATGGCTGTAAGAGTTTGCTGCAACTGGCAATGCTCTCCAATTTCCACGATCCTGGACCAACGTTTTTCTGTTTACAATTCTTCAGGTCTTGTTTATGCCATTTATCCAACTGTTTTTTGGTCGCTCCCTTGGTATTTTCAATTTTGGTTACCAATCCATAATTGCCCTAGTTTTGCTTGTTGCTTCTTTTCATTCAACATGTTTGAACCATTTTAGCCTTTGTCCTTTTACGTAGCTTGTTATTTGTTGTTTTTCGTTAGCAATAGTTTATCGATTGAATGAATCATCTTTAGGCTGTATGGCTGTAAAGATGATTATAGAATCTGGATTACAAGAACAATATAATTTATTTATCAGGTATAAATTCATTATAATAGCCAACAGGTACCTCATTTTGAAAAATTGAAATTTGAAATATTCGCTGCTACAAAAGCAAAACGATACTTTTGTTACACCTAAACAAAATTTGACGTCACATTTTGATTTAGCATATTAACCACAATTATTACGCGTCTTATCTGAAGATAGATCTGCTCTCATAGAATTGTATACACACATGTATTAATACATTTTAATTAATATTGGTATAAAAATTGAAAAATAATCAAATTAAGTATATGAAAAAAAAACTACAAATCTTTTGATTTTAAAAATCATATTATTAAGGTGGCCTCTGTGAGAGTTTGAAAAAAAGTCCTACCATAAAATACTTAAATGGAAAAGTCCAATTTAATTTGTTTATAATATAAACAATAAAAGGTCAAATAATGTTATAAAATTTAAAATTAATAATATTAAAAATAAATTGTTAATATTTATAATGGCTAATATTAATTAAAAATATTTCATTAACAGGCCACTCTAGAATAGTGGCCGCAGAAAAATTTGAAAACTGATAAATTATGTTATAAATAAAAGAAATTCTTTATTATTTATTGTATTTTTTTTTTATTGGCGAAAATTATTTATGAAAAAAAAAAAACTAGGTTTAAAACATCTGAATACCTGAGACTTGTAGTATAAACAATATTGTATATAAAGCTGGGTCCACACCAAATGCACAATGTTGCTGTAATGTAGTTGCCACATTCTCGCGAGCACAGGCGTCCATACAGGGCGTAGAAATTTATGTTGTTACATGATTAAATGCTTTCCAATATTCGCCAATATGTTTGTGTCGTTCAGAAAATATAGTTGTCTGCTATTTTTCTTCTAGAGCTCATCTTCCGTTTTATTGTGTCGATATCACACGAATATAAATTTGATAATTCAAAAAATTAATCAATTTTATTGAAGGAAGATTTTTCTTTTGGGTTCCATAGAATTGGTTTTTCGCAATAGGACTCAATTAGTTGAATAACTCTGTCTTGATTTCAAGCATATACTGAATTGCAACTCATTATTTATTATTATATAGTTCCTTTTCACTTATTATTTTAATTTGTTTGTTATAATAAAATAATACACACTTATGTATTGACAGTAGCAGCAACAATACAACATCGAAAATTTCTCGTCCAAACTAGATAAACAAAACGCGCCAAACACTGCAAATTTCCAATAGTACCCTGATTAAACGCACAACATGCAAAAAGATGCTTGTTCGTGAGCGGACTAGGTCCAAACCAAACCGCGCTGAACATGGTAGCAATGTTTTGCTTGTTTGGTGTGGACCCCGCTTAAGTTTTTTAAACGTTCAGTAGTATTATAACTTCCATCTTTTTGTTACTGGAATCTCTTCACCTAATTATTGCAACGTTATTCTAGCTCTACGTACTCCCAAGTCATTTATGTATTTTAGAAATTAACTTTCCAACTGCTGGATGCGTGTATATGACAAGATGCGTAAAACAGTTTGTTCCAATTCTCGAAAAATATTGTTAGTATGATGTTGCCAGTTTATCATAACCACATGAACTTTCCATATTTCTAATAGAAATAAGGTTTTTTTTTTTTAAATTTGATATTCATATACCTTTCCCTGACTTTTTGTATGTACCATATATGATATGACATATGTGATATGTGGTATCGATATACCTAATTGAGAACCTCCATAGCTTTTTCTGTACAAATCATTTTAAAATATTTTATTATGTCGTAAATTTTATTTATTGGCAAAAATGCCAACCCATCTAACATGGAAAAAAATGACTTAATGTTTCGTCTGTTTTATATTTGGATTGTAATCCAACTTCTTGTATCTTGATATGTATTTTGAGTACGAACAAATCCGCAATTTTGAGAAGTGATAAAAACAACCTTGTATATGGAGTGTACCTCTCATTCATATTTTAAATATAGTCTTTAAATGTTGTTATTCAATTAAATCACACATTATATTAAATAATTTAAATCCATACAGTGAAATAGAACAAAAGATCTAAACAGTTTAACAGATATGTAAAATGTAATAAATGATTAAATTGAAATAATACTCACAGTGCGCGGATCTATTTTGAAATTAACTCAATTTTTTTTTGTTAAAATTTATATTTAATTTGAATATAGACTAAATAAAGTTGAAAATAATAATAAAACATATTTTGTTAAAATTAATATCGGAAATTGCATTACACAGATACATTCAATGAAACATTATGATAATCATTTCAGTGTTTTATGATTCTTACAAATAAAATTGTGCATTCATACACAGTTGATAAATTAAAAAAATTATAATATATTATTAAACCAAATGTTGTGCTATTGTACCTATTAAAAATGTAGTTGACCTAATTAATATATAATTTAAATACATTGTACATAGAGAATTTATTAAAAATATATTATGTACCAATATTATAACATGTTTAGATATTAAGTAGATAACTGGAAGCAAGTAGGCCAATTATGTCCAGTTAGTAGGAATTATGTTGTAATAATTAAAGCATATCATCAATTGAAATCCTAAAAATAAAATATAAAATGTAATAATCTTTAAAATTAGTTAAATGATTTTCATTAAAAAAATATATATATTTTACAATTTGTATCTTATAAATGTATAATAATTTGTAGATTCAACTAATAATATATCTACAATTACAGTTCCTTCATTTACAAAAAAAATAAAAATAATATATTATTTATCAGAAATTAGGTATTACTTATTACAAAGTAAAATGTTATGAAGTTATTAATTCAAATATTTATAATCTTAACACATAGTTTCATCATACCATCGTTCGTCTTGTATCACCAGCCACACGATCTAATAACTGAAAAAAATCAATATAAAATAAATATAATCTTACTTTCTTATTTGAACAACTTACTCCACTAATTCCGGGCAAATTGAGTATGGTACCTAATAATGGTACCCTCCGCATGAAATTGATGACTACTGGAAAGAAACCACTGCAAAAAATAAAATTGATAGTTGCAATGTTAAATCGCATATCAACATAAAACAAATTTGACAACATTGTTAACAAAAATAATAATTAAAATAATACCAAGCAAAAATGAACCCTTAACTATAGATATGTACTACTGATATAGGTATATCAGTGATATATTTGTTCTATCTACAACAGTGATTAAACAATGTCAAATGTATATTTAATTAGCACAATAATAAAATAGATTTATGGTCTTAATTCTTTTTTTCCATTGATATTTACATAAATTTACTGTCTGTAGAAAATACATTCTTATTTTTATTGTATGGAGTAATCCAAGATAATTTACATTTTAAATTTGATTTAACTTTGGGTATAATAATTGTAAATAATAAAAATGACTTTTTTTCAAACAAAATTATATTCTTAACATATTCACAGGTGAAAGTAATATCGAAAAACACAGTGATTATGTGCCACATGTTATAGATAAAACAAAATGTGTTTATTTGGTATGGTCAAAGCACATGGTTATAAATATAAGATCACACTGGGGGAATCTGTCATTATATGTTAGGTTATTGAAAAATAACCTAACATATAATTTTATATATTATATCACACAAATTTCAAAATGTTGCAATATAAAATTAAATAGGTAGAAAGATTATTATCAGTCTGGTTCGTGTACATATTTGATTAATTTGATATAAAAAAAAAAAGTTGCAATATCTATTAAATCAGGTCTTAAATAATAAGGGCTGTGAAAAAACTTTAAAATGCGCAAAATATGCACAACAAATTTCAAAAATTACATAAAATATGCATTTAAAAGTTTCAAAAAAAGCAATATAAAATGCACTTAAAATGGTTTTTAATTTAATTTTTATAATTATTTTAATATTACTGATATTAGTATATTATACACATACAAATTTATTTAATAAATAAAAAATTATAAAAATGTTCATTGAATTTGAATGTTGACTAAGCTGATTTTTGCAATATTACTTTCTTTTATCAACTCCTTATCTTTACCTAACCCATATACAGCCTATGTAAAACAAAAAATATGTGTGTAACAATGTCAATTGACAGACTTTGATAAAAAATACAGGAAAATTAACTAAAAAGGAAAATATGACATAACAAGTCCAAAAAATGACCTTAAGAATTACAAACCTCAAACAATGGAAAATAAAAGTTTCATAAATTAATTTATTGTTACATAATTCAAATTATGTATTTAAAAAGTTAAGTTTCACAGTCAGCTAAAAAAAATGCACTTTCCTACAAATTCACTACTAATAATATTATTTTATGAACATTTTTCCTTATATTTAAAAAACCATTTCTAAATGTGAATACCTAATTAGAACCCATTTTAACCTAGGACTGTTATTTATTTGAGACTAAAGATTGGAATATTCAATTTTAGGAGATAGTATACACCATCAAACTATCAAATTAAATCTTATACTATTTGGCTAATCTTAATTCCTAAAACCTTCCCCTGTTTTCCTGACTTACTCATTAAAGGTTTTACATTTTTAATAACAATCTAAATTATAAGCTTAATTAAGCATTTATACATATAATGTTTGTCAAAAAAGGTTTAATAATTTACTACAGGTTTATATAGACTGTACTTAAAAGCACATTTTTATTAAAAGGAGATGGGCCAATTTTAGTGTCATCAATCTATTTATTATAGAATGTCTTACACTATCCTCAAATTAAAAAATCCTGTTTTAGGATAATGAGTACGGGTGTTCTAACTGTTAAAGATGGGACGTTGGGAGATAGTAGAGGAAAAATTGAATGTACATCTGAACGAAACGATTAACCATTACTAAAGAAAACATGATTCCGAGCAGAGTTTAGTTGATAGTGTTGCTTTGTCAACAATATATATGTTATATTATGGTAATATAATGCATATGCATTATATATTTTCTTTAATAATATTTGTTTTATATTGAAATTAATTTCCCGTTTTCACTACGTTTTTCCAAGTAAATGGGAAAAATCCTGGAAAAAATAAAAAATAATCTCTCTAAAGTACCTCCCCATTTAGATTTTATTTAAGAAAAAGTGCTGTCATTGTAAATCGGAGCAAGATTTCTGGTAGGAAAGTTGTTCACAGTAAAACTAATACATTCCACCGCTAAGAATCTAAAATGTATACATATATTTTATAATTTTTTGAAATTTCACTTAATTATTATATTAATATAATAAGTACCTTCTGTTTTAAAGTTACTAGGTTGAATAAACTAAACATAATTTATTTTTGTATGGGTGTCATAAATGGGTATCATAGTAGGTATTAAATCAATGTCAAATTACCTGAATAAAAGTATGAATCCGTAAATTTCTAATAACATTCCAACAATTGGCCAACCAAAAAGAACAACTGAAATCCCACCAAAAAATGACACAGATGCTTTAATTTTTTGTCTTTGGAAAAAAAACTTTAATGTCCGCTGTACTCCAATAACACAGCTTAGACCAACAATGAATAATATCTAAATAAATATACAATATAATAAAAGAAAGATGAACATTTTTAGTTGACAAGAACATTAAATATTAATTGTTCACAAACTTCTACCAACAACTTACATTGCCAATAGCTAAAAGTCCTTTGTCAAACAGCAACAACATGCCCAAAAATAGGAACGATATTCCAAAACCAGCCAAACCAACTCCGATTTCTATTTAGAATAAAAAAAATTAATAATTTAAATGAAATAAATAAAACAAACATACTCTGCAAGTCTGTGATTTCAAACATTGAAGACATTTCCAAATAACTTAGGTAAAAAGACTTATTATTTAAAAATCATTTTTAACAATAAAATAAAATAAATAAATTTCATGAATTGTAAAACAACATTTTGTTTTATTGTAATTGCATTCTATTTTCATAAATAAATTAAATTTGTATGAATATAATATGATAGGTATTACATAGGTAGTTAGAGAATTTTATAATTTATTCTGCGGTTTACCAAGATTCCACGATTTAAATTTGATAACAACTGGGATGATTGTGATAAGATAAATTTAATTTAGGGTTTTTAAAATCTCCATAGATAATAATAATAATTATTATTATATTATCTATGAAAATCTCATAATATTTGAAATTTTTATCACAAATATAAAACTACATATTATGTACGTATCTTGAATTTATTTTCTATGGCCATGACTAAAACATGATGAAAACAATATTAATAATTTTATTTATTTATGGATCAAAGATGTTTCTTTAGTTATTTTTTATATCATTAATCATTAATCACGGTTATAGTCTTATAGATCTATAATATGGTCGTGATTCGTGGTATTTTCAAAAGATACAAAACAAAAGACTTATTATTACATTTATAACCTTTAACGTTTCTTAATTCTAAATTGTAATTTATACGACTCATCAATTAAGAGTTAAGACATACCTACTTCGTGGTACAAGATAAAACTCGATGTGTAACGTGTAATATTATAACTAATGAAAGTTGATTAAAATCCCTATTCTAGTAATAACTTATTTACACATTTGGCGATACTGTATAAGTATATTATGATACACCATAATGTGGAATACGTAGTAGTATTCTTATCAAAATGATGATAAAAAGTGAAATTTCAAATTAAGTATTTTACCAGGAAAACAATAATAATATTTTTAATAAAAAAGTCACAAAATGGTTTTGGCCGATTTGGGCCGTAAGATCACTTCGGCCCTTCGGGGTCTGAACAATGCGAGCATCATCAATGAAGAGGTTTGAATATTATTATACTGTATTTTTGGAAATATAATTAAAATTAATTCATTGTTTCAAGGTGTTGAATTCCATGCTGAAAGACATCTGTGCTGCACTTTTGGAAGCCAATGTTAATGTAATGCTGGTAAAAAAGCTTAGAGAAAATGTACGTAATGTCATTGATTTTGATGAAATGGCTGGTGGCCTGAACAAGAGACGTATGATACAGAGTGCTGTTTTTAAAGAATTAGTGAAAGTATAATACTCTATAATTTTTATTATTTCAATTGAATCTTTGAGCATGATTTATTTTCAGTTAGTTGATCCTGGTGTCAAATCTTATCAGCCTGTTAAAGGCCGACCAAATATAATTATGTTTGTTGGTTTGCAAGGTTCTGGTAAAACAACTACGTGTACTAAATTAGCATATTACTATCTAAAAAAAAATTGGAAAACATGTCTTGTATGTGCCGATACTTTTCGAGCTGGAGCATATGATCAGTTAAAACAGAACGCTACTAAAGCACAAATACCATTTTATGGAAGGTATGTAAAATAATCATAACTACTGTTTATTTATTTCAGTTTAATAAGTATTGATACTTGTTTATTTTTTATTGTGTATTATGTTAGTTTTTAAAACTAGTAGTTATACTTTTACATGGATTAAGTAAAATTTACTTAGTATCTAACTTTTTTTATTGAAATTAATATTTTTAATTTACATTACAAATATGCTATTACTTGGAGTTTCTATTAAGAGTTGTTTAGAAGAGTTAAATTTTCTTTTAAAATTCAAAATTGTAGAATTTTTAAACTTTGAAACTTGGTACTTGGTACTTTTATAATGAATAATAATGAATAATAATTGTAAAGAAAAATACAAATTAATTTTATGTGTAATTCAAATAATTAATAGTTATTAGGTATACAATCAGTTTAAAAATTGTCAATATTTCTTTATAAATTATTGTTTATTATAATTATTGTTCAGTTACACAGAATTTGATCCAGTTGTGATAGCTCAAGATGGTGTAGATATGTTCAAAAAAGAAGGTTTCGAAATAATAGTGGTGGATACCAGTGGACGACATAAACAAGAAGCTTCCTTATTTGAAGAGATGTTACAAGTGTCAAATACTATTGTAAGGAACTTACAATATAAATTTTATTCAAATTTACTGTACATTTAATAATTATTTTCAGAAACCAGATAACATTGTGTTTGTTATGGATGCAACAATTGGTCAAGCTTGTGAAGGGCAAGCACGTGCTTTCAAAGAAAAAGTCAATATTGGTTCTGTTGTGATTACTAAGCTTGATGGCCATGCTAAGGGAGGAGGAGCACTAAGCGCGTAAATGTTTTAACATAACCACTACTCTATTAATTTACTAGCTATCTGTCCCGATTAGGTTAGGGCAACATGGCAATTTTCTTTTTAGCATAATTTTTCTGGTTTTGACCTTGTCAGGGTTGAATGAAAACATATAGGTTAAAAGTTGGTAGTCCACTTTTGGAGGACTAAAAGTGTTATGTTGTGATATTTTTTTATGATTTTCATACCAAAAATATCAAACTGATTTTTTTTTTTTAGGGGCGGGAGGGACAGATTTCAAAGGAAGTAAAGCCTAACCTAACCTCTCAGGAACTGGAGTGCTTGACAGTGGGTTAATGTGTTTACTGTATCATAGTTGTCTCTCATAAATGGGACTTCATTCCTTTTATACTTTTATGTTCGCATTTGCCTACAATTTATATAAACATAGTAAACTTTTCAACATAAAATATCTATATGTATAAAAAATAAATCATTATTTTGTTGGTAACGCCATAACTTGTATACCATCTAAATTTTCAACTTTTCTTGTAGATTTTTAAAAAATCTCACCCAACTTTTATTTTTTTCATCAATTTGCTGTTGTTATGGAAACATGTTACAGTGGAGCTGGACTTCATTTATAAAATTATTTTTGTTGATTTAAATTGGTAATATAAATGAAATAAAAAAAAGTATTGAAATTTTTATACAAAAATTACCATCAAAATTTATGACTTTTCCTAAAATTTTCTTTCATATAAACCTTATCCTGACATTAATGAACACAACAATAAAAAAAATAAATAGTTAAATTGGTCCATTAATTTTCAAGTAATGGCATCACCAACAAAATATTGATTCATTTATTTATATATACAGTGAGTGTAAAAAGTATTCATACACCTTAAATTTTTAAATAAATATTCATATTTCTTTTGGTTTCAAAATCAACATTTTACATCAAACTAGACTTTAGTAATATTGGAATTATAAAAACATATTTTTTGAGAAAAATCATTATGCTGTTGTACACTGATCTGGCAACTACAGTGATATCCGTATTGCCTACAGATCAGGGTAGTAACCTATTACACAGTACAGTATAAAATATGTATTATACATACATATTAATCATATTATATTAAACCCTTAATTTTACATGGTTTATATTTATATATTTGGTGGAAATTACTTGTGTATCAACATAAATCTTATATACTTAATAATGTACTGTGTACTATTGTAATAATTTTATAAAATTAACTTTACCTTTAGGGGTTGAATATGGGTTAAAAAAGTAACTTATATTACTTAGAGCATTATTTTCTATTTATTTTATTTTATTTTTATCATCAATTTTTAAAGGCCAATTGTTGTCGGTGAAGTCACTTCTCTTTATCCTTTGCACCTCCTTCATTTTGTGGAAAGATCATCAGTTCATTAAATCTTGTAAACTTCTAAATATCTTTTTCTCAGTTTTCATCTTGTTTCTTTTCTTTCTATTTTTGCTTCAAATATGTTATTGATAAAGTCATTGTGTTGAACTACATGACCTATTAACTTGATTTTTCTTGTTGGTATTGATTCCATTAATTGTCTTCTTTCTTGGATTGCTTTCAATACTTGTTATTCTTCTCCACATCTATATTTAAGTTGCATCTAACTTGTTCCTCTCCTTTTCCTCTATTGTCGTGGTTTTGCTTCCGTAAGTATGTAGGTATAACCCAAATAAAAGATTTAATACATTTTTTGCAAATATTGATGTTTAGATGTTGATTTGTCAGAAGTTGACATATGCTTTAGAAAGCTTGTTTAACTAATGCTGTTATTTTGATTTTCAAGTAGTTATTTAATTAATATAGTAATACAAAAACTACTAAAAATTGCATTTACCAATTGATATTTACATTTTATATTTATTAAAAAAAATAAAAGGTTTAGATGGAAATATTGTTTATTAAATATCAAATTTTAAAAAATTGTACAATTACTTATAATATTATCATCCAGGTTAAAGGTTGATCTGTACTTGTACCTAATATAATTAATTTTTAACTTTTGAATATATAATGTATATCATGGTTTAATAGGTTTTTAATAATTTCTATTTCAAAAATAAAAAAAATTACTGATGAAATTTGTCATTTGTTAATTAGTGTGGCAGCTACAAAAAGTCCAATTATCTTCATTGGTACTGGTGAACATATAGATGATTTTGAACCATTCAAAACAAAGCCATTTGTATCCAAACTGCTTGGTATGGGTGACATTGAAGGACTTATTGATAAAGTTAATGAGTTAAAACTTGAAGATAACGAAGAGTTAATAGAAAAAATAAAACATGGACAGTTTACAATTAGAGATATGTATGAGCAATTTCAAAATATTATGAAAATGGGTCCATTTTCTCAAATTATGGTAAATCTTTAGTTATTCTCAATTTTGTTTTACGAATAAATGTGTTATTAATGTAAGTTATGTATTTATGTTCTAGGGCATGATACCTGGGTTTAGTCAAGATTTCTTATCTAAAGGTAGTGAAATGGAATCAATGGCTCGTTTAAAAAAACTTATGACAATCATGGATAGTATGAATGATGGAGGTAAGTTATTTTAGTACAATCAAATTTAAAATCGTAAACCTAATTAGGTAGCAATAAATAGAAACATATATGTTTTATAGAATTAGATCATAGAGATGGTGCAAAGTTATTTACAAAACAACCTGGTCGTATCATAAGGGTGTCACAGGGATCTGGTGTAACAGAACGCGAAGTTCGAGAGCTTATATCACAATATACAAAATTTGCTGGTGTTGTGAAAAAAATGGGCGGTATTAAGGGACTATTTAAGAGTGGTGATATGTCTAAAAATGTCAATCCATCACAAATGGCAAAGCTCAATCAACAAATTACAAAAATGATGGATCCCAGAGTTTTGCAGCAAATTGGTATGTTTAATTATAATAGGTAATAAATAATAAAAATATAAATGAAAAAAAAAATTGAGTTTGTTTTCTTATTAAATATATTTATTACTATTTATTTTGTTGATAAAAATTGATTTTAGATATTTTATTTAGATTTAAACAGAACTATAGTTATAGAAGTATAGATAAATTTATTTCTTTTAATTAATAATTACCCATTTTAGGTGGCATGCCTGGACTGCAAAACGTTATGAGACAGTTACAACAAGGTGCTGGAGGAGGTCTTGGTAATTTAATGGGTGGATTAGGCAAATAAATTAAATGGTGAATTATATCTTTTTTTTTCAAAATATTTTTGTACTCTTTTTATTTATGTAAAAATTATGATAACAAATTGTCTTGTTCATCTAACTATGTAAGTTGTGTAGCTCTGTTTGGTAATTGCCATGCAGGTACTACTAATTCCGAAGAAGTATGAACTTCAAAATTAATTCATTGCAAATGTTTGAAAGCAATTTATTTGTAATCTTTTTGTAAAAAGAAAAAGTATTGTTATTTGATTTGTTTTTTTTTAATTATTTTAATAGAATCAATCTAAGCATAATATTATGCTTTAGTTAAGAAATACAATCAGGTTTTCTAAAAAAAAAAAAAAAAAAAAAAAAACATTAACTAATATTAGACAAAATAGATTTAATAATAAATTCCAAAATTTATCTTGACTTAAAAATCTTAGGATTTGAAAGTACCTACATAATAATATATTATGCAGTTTCATTTTGTATCATAATTTGTAATTTTATAAATAAATATTAAACTTATTTTAGACTGAGAATAATGAAAAATATATTGGTTTTACTGGTATGACTTTTTTACTCAGATAAATAGAATTGTCTATAATATCAAACTTGAAAATTTAAAATGGCAATAAAATTGTCTGCAAAAATTTCATATATCTATGATTATTTAAACCAAATTATTACAAAAAAACAAAATTTAAAATAATTAAACCGTTAATTTTTAAACTTTCCTGATGTAATAACTGGGTAATTTGAAGGGTACATATAGGATATGGGGTAATTTAATCTATATTTATACTGAAATCAACAATATATATCATCAGCCTATAGCAAAAATGTACTAACTATAAATTTAACAATTTTCAGATTTAGTGCCATCTAGTGTAAAATTATTGCTCTAAACTATGAAAGAGACATTAAAATTAGTTTTTCCAATAATTTTAACTTTTTACTCACTATTTTAAAAATTCACACTGTTAAATACCTAATTTAAAAAAGTAAGAACTTACTATCATGTTAGTTTCTATGTTTAAAAAAATAAATATTTTTAGTATGAAAATGTATTATTGACCATTTTTCAGTTTTTATTATTTATAAGTTTATTTTGTTTATTGTATACTATTAGTAAAATTAGATAATATTTATTATTTTTAAGTAATATTTTGTGGAAGTACATAGAGTAATAAGAATCCCTAAAAGACACGTATAAGTTTTTAAAATTCAAGACCTTTCTATAATTTTTAAGTTTGCAAAATCAAAAATAAATCGTAAAAAAAAACAGAGCTTCATAAAGGAGTATGAATTGTCATGTAAAGATTGTCTCAATTCCTAAAAGCTACAAAAAATATTTAAACAAATAAATATTAGTGTCAATAATAAAAAATTAAAACTTTTGAATACACTAAATCAGATTCATATTTTATAGTTGCTGGATTTTGAAATCCTTGAACTGGGACATGATATTAAATTACCTCTTTTTGTTATACATTTAAGTGTAGCGCTTAAGAAAATGTTTTAGTTATTTAAATTAATTGAACACAAATATGGTATTTTATTTAAATATTTGTTAATTAATACAAAGTTGCATTATTATTTATTAGTAATATGTTTTGTTTTTTATACATTAACTGTTAAAAAAAAAACATAAAACTAACAAAAGTACAATCACTGAAGAAGAAGACTAAAGATTACTTTTAGTTGAATAATTTAAAAATACATTGCTTAAATTTATTGTATACTTAATAATAATCGTTGACTATCTACATTAGGCATAGGCATCATTTGATGCAAAATCATGGGACAGCAAGTATTTTGAACAATATTTTTAACTCATTTGTGGTCTAATGAAGAGTCCTTCACTTCATTAAACACTCCATCTTTAGTCAGTGGATTATCAATCAGGTCCAAGTCAATTGTTTATTAGAATTAGGTAGAAAAATATCAAATGGATTTTGAAATATAGGTAATCAGTTTATTGATCTTTATACAGTGTCTCAGAAAAGAATGGTCAACTTAAGAGTTATTTTATATGTGGTTATAAGAATAGATTTTTTTAATATTAAAACTTTGGTTTTACCTGTTTCATTTGTAAAATATCTGTAAAAATTAAAAATAAACCATACCACTGAATTATTTGCAAAATAAGGGGTCACTCGATTTTTTTTCAAAATAATCATTTGACACATAAATAATAAATATCTAAATTCAGTTATTTTTATTGAATTTGATTATTATTATTAGTAGTAAACAAATTATTTGATAATAACTGTTTAAAATGGCCTCCATTAACTTCAATACATTTAAAAAGTCTTTGATAGATTGACAGTTTATAATCAAAAAACTGCCAGTAAGGAACAACTTAATGAGCGAATAACTAATTTGACAGAAAAAAATAATGCAAACTACAAAACTTTTCGAAAATGTTTGGAAGTCATTCCATCAATGACTTTTTAAACGTTTTTGGCGTGCGCGGCCTAAATTGTCCAGATATTGAAACAGTAATTAACGGTCACCGGGCGGCCACATAATATGTTCAAATGTATTAAAGTTAACGAAGGTCATGTTGAATAGTTAACTATTCCTAGTTACCTAGGTAACTATTCGAATAATTTGTTTATTGTTGATAATAATAAAAAACTAGAAAAACAACTGAATTTGGGTATTTATTATGTTTTTACAATCAAATTAATTTTATTTTTTATATAGACCCATTAAATTGGCGCTTAAATAAAAAAAATAATAAATTCCATTGAAATCCTTGACAAATGTACCTACAAATTCATGCGTTACATCAAAATTACGATTTTGAACATGATAAACCAAAATTAACGATGATAATGATTATTTTTGGAAAAAATCGAGTGAGCCTCCCTCCTATATTCTGTAATAGGTATTTTGATATTATTTATTTTTATTTTGTATGGATATTTTCCAAATAGAACCATTAAAACCAAAGTTTTGATATTGAAAAAAAAAACTATTTTTATAGGTACATACCTATAGAATAACACTAAGTAGAGTTGGCCATTCTCAGGTTAACCAGACGTCTTCTTTTACGAGGACTTGTCCTCTTTTTATGGATATCCTCGTACATCCAGTCTCTTTTTTACATGTATTTTTTTTTTAATATTATAGGTTCACCTTGCTAGGGTGGGTAAGTAAATAAATTATGATTATGGTGATAATGTGATATTGTGATAATTTACAATAATTTATCTATGGATTTATAAGAAATTTACTTATTACTATTATTAGAACCATTCAAATATAGAATATTTTATGAACTATAAAAACCATAAGACCTTATAAAACATCTTGTGTTAACAAGACATAAAGATGTTTTTAAATAAAGTAAACTTGTATGAGTACATATATATATATTATTATAATTATATAACTTTAAATAAGTAAACTTTTTATACAAAATATTTATCAATACTTTCTTATGATACAACCATGTTTATGGTACTTTAAGCGCTTATCACAAAATTAAAGTGAACCGCGATGATATACTGCCAATAGATATATAGTAGCTATTAGTTAGCAAAGATATAATAATAAAACCTGAAGAAAATAATTTATCTATGCTTTCTATGCGATATTTAAGTATTAATAAGCATATTATAGTTCTAATAGTGTTCAAACCACAAAAAGATATTAAATCAATTAATTATAAATTGATATAAATTAAAATAATAATAAATGAACATATTTAAAAAACAGCGGGAATATATTTTCGGCGGCCCCGCGTCGTAGTTCTTCCATCGAAACCAGGAGTGCTGTTATCAATATTACAAAAATTAACCTGGCGGTCGCCTATTTATTAGTATTCTTGTCTATGAGTACACTTTTTTAGTACACCCTTTTAGACTTCTTATGCTGATATGCTATCTACTATGTTTTAATCAGCAAACTGAATAACTAATATAACTAATATAACTAATTGTGTACAATTTACGGATGTTTTGTATATTAGTAATAATTTTAGTGTACCCCTAAAATACAATAGGTATGAACAGTTATAAAATACCGGTTGTGTGTAGTGTGAGTTGTGAGTAGTGAGTATCAATGAAGGAACAATAATTTGTAAAAATGTCCTCTTTTTTTTTTTATAAGACACATCTGGTCATACCCTAGCCATTCTTTTCTGGGACACCTTGTATACGTTCCAATTCAATATAGCTGATTCTATAATTATTACATTAGTGATCTTATTATGAAAAAGGCAAAACAGTCATACTTTTTTAAAAATCACTTAGGTATAAAGTAGCGTAGCTATTAATCTGAAACTTCCATAATGATAAGGTAGCATGAAGCCTATGACAATAGGTGTTAGCAGCGGTGTACTTACAACTTATTTTCAATGGAGGGGGTGTAGGTGAAAAGTTTATTAAATTATACTTATGTACATAATAAAATTAGATAATATTAATATATATTATATTGGTTATATTTTTAATTACATATTACTTATACATACTTAAGTATAATTAAACAGTAGAATAATGAATTAAGCATGTAAAAATGTATTTAAACTATATTTATAAAAAAGCTAGAGTTTTAAAAAAAAATGTTTTATGCGGGCAATCTAAAAGATTGAATAGTAAGTGAATAAATAACGGCAAAGGTAGTAGTTATTAGTTTGTAGTCAAAGCAAAGGTAGAAACTTAACTTAACTCAGAAATTCAACACGAATAAAACTGACGTAGTGACAAGTAACAAGTTGTTTATAGAAAAACTGTATCGAATTCAGACAGTTTGTCAAATAATACTCCACCGCGCGGAGATTCAGCATCGTTTAAAGCACAAATAAACCATTATTACTAGGGTAGGTAGGTACCTTAAATGTGTTTTTCGAGAAGAAGCATATTCGTAGGTACCATACAAAACTAATACCTTCCTATACGGCTTCTTTGCTTTAAAATGTAAAATTAAGTTTCCTTCTTTATGTGTCATGTTCGTGTATCCAAAGGTATATATTTAAGATTCTTAGTAGAATAGGTAAGAACGACCATGACGGATTGCCAATTGTTATAATAATGTACTGAACTCATATACCCATTATGCGTTTTTCATTCATTCAAAATAATAAATGTCATATACACACCTAAGAACCTATATAATATTATAATATATTGTACATTATAATATAGGTACATATGTGTAATTCTACAGTACGTACGCTGTACAATTATAATTATTCACAATGTCTAATATTTATAGACTATAACATAGCGCTTGTAGTAGGTAGCTCTGTTGAACATATGAATTTGCCGGCTGTAGGGTGTAGTGAGGAACTAAATAATTTTATGCGGGGGGGGGGGTTACTCTGGATCCTCAGCTATGATTTAGGCTGGGTGGAACATGTCAGTAAAAATATTTTGATTTCATAATAATTGTTCTTGTTCGATATGAATAGCACATATTCGTAGAGTCGACTGCACTTTAACAATTTCCACGATCTAATTCGGAATCTTACACTCTTACACTCCAACGATAAATTAAGGCCCGATGGGTAGCAAAAATACAGTCCATACTCCATAGAATTAACCGTAAGTATCACAAAAAACTTACGTAGGTAGTACACAAATTCACTGGGAGTAATTTCTTTTTCAAGTTTTCGTATTTGGCTCAATAGGCAGTAGACTACTTGAGAACTGTATGAATCTCTACTTGATCATAAACATCGTACGTTCAAAATAGTTTCCCTAGGGAAGGGTTAACCTAACCTAACCGTTATTTTCGCTCTAGTGTATGAGGCCTAGACAAATGTAACCGACGGTCGCGAAAAACCTCTTGCACATGTAAAATAAACATCGTGTCGTATAAGTACGGATTACGGACCGCAGTATTGTAACATTGTTATAGAGGCGCCTACTGTACACAGACACATTCTAAATTGTATAATGTATAACAACAACAACAACAACAACAATACAAAATACGACGGCGGCGTTATCCTCTCTCGGTCGTCCTCGTCACGGGCGGCGGTTCATCCGAACCAGTAACCGCACAGATTACCGAACACGGCCCAAATGGCCACTCGCGACGACGTGCGTCCGATGAATCATCGCCTTCGACGGCGTCGTATTGGCAACAATGGCAACGTCGCACCGGCGAACATCAGCGGCGGCCGCGCGCACGCGATTAATGGAATTCTCACAGCATGGCCGCCGGCCCGGTAATTATTGTTCCCCCGGTACGACGGCGGACCGGGTCTCGTATCATATCACCGTCGCGGCGCCGCAGTTGCCGTTGTCGTCCGATCGAGGCGATATCGCCGTTTGTTTTCGTTTTCGTGCTTTTTTATTTTATTTTTTGCGTTCGTCGGTCGACAGTGAAAATATCCGTTGTTATTAATATCATTTGAATTTTTCTCAAACGTATCGCCGAATCGAGTCGAGTGTGGACAATTTCCCGCGGACGACAAGTCGAAATCCACAGTGGTGTGTACCGC